CAACAGGTAGTGTAACAATACAATCCTGTCGACAGGATCCAAAGAAGCACTGATATCCAAGAATAACACAGTTGTTGGCTTTTGATACACATAGCGGAGCTCTAGGACCCGGTGGAGTGGGAAATTTGACTAAAGTAGCAACGACCATAGCGCTGTAAGGCTGTTTTAAAGGATTTACTTTATTTCCAGTCAATAATTTAGTCCAAATTCCTGCATAATTCAAAGTGACCGACCAGCGTGGATATGTAACCCGTACCAAAGCACTTTGTAGGGTAATCCCGTTCAACCCCACAACTACCATACAGGCAGGTAGCTAAACTCACACAGTGCCTCGCGCGATTCCCGCCCTCCACACACAGCATGCGGCCGAATGCAAACCGCCAAATAGCCTTCAGTGACAACACACTCCTTTCTTCTAATTCATACCTTCGCCGGAAGTCCCTCTCACACAAATCGCACCAAGGCTAAGGCTTAGCCATTTTCTTTTTATTATCTCGGGTGTACGAAAGAAACTACATAATGTTTTCCCAGGAACACTGTCACATGACGACCATAAGTCTGATGAACCATTGTCTCGGTATTTCAAGCATCTCATTATCTGACACAGGCTCCTACTTTCTGATTGAATGAACTCGTCACTCCAACGTAGAACGGCGAAATTTGGGTTCGACCAACAAACTGTTGCTACCTAACTATTTCCCTATCGTTTTCCAAAGTTATGGGGCTCTCATCCGTGAAGCAGTCGCTATTTATTTAGCTAGATACGCCATCATTTTCCAATGGCTGCACGGATTTCGCCCAGCTTATCAATACAACATACACATGCTACTGACTGCCATCTGTGATCAGGATACGCCGCAGCTGGGGTGTCATTTGACGCCAACTATATGGATTAATGAATGGCCTTTAACCATCTAGAATGTCGTATTTTCCTTTTCAAGCTCTAGAAACGTGAAATCTGTACTTCTCCCTGGGTTTGATGGTCAACTTCCTCCTGCGGGATCTGAATGTGAATGCTTGAAAACCACTGTCCGACCCGTTAGAATTTTAGTGAATAATGGCACAAGGCATGGGTACATAAACTATATAGTGATGGTGATTAGCTCGAACTTTTGACTCAGCCACTGATCTCAAGAAATGGTGAGCCATCAGGAGCGCAGGTGGACACTCAGCGCCGCAGTACGACCTCCACAGGGTCTGTGCGTAGTCGGCTCCGCTTACTAGCATCGGCTCGAAACAGACAATTTTATGTGGCCTTCCTTCCTTGCAAGGTTTTTACGTAGGATAGTCTTTGTCGTTCGAGACAAACCAAACCGGTATCATCAGTACGACTTCACCTATCAATTTTCTTCTGAATGCTGAAAACATAATTGCGGCTTCAATCCGCTCGCACCTACCGAATTTGGCAACCTTAGCACAACGACGGTTTTACTTTCCTTGAGTTCTCCCAATGGAAGGTGACGGAGACTGCCTTACCCCAGTTCAAACTGCTGCATAAAACCACTTCGTGAACAAATCCCATAATGAACGATCCCAAGCACAGGCACTTCTGTCTGCGGCGACTTTCATCGCTGCAGTAGTGCACATGTTCCCATGAACGCACCATCAGCCATCCGGCCATGAAAAAGTAGTATGCGGAAAGAGACAGTGGCTTAGGAATGAGGTGAGTAATTAAGGAAGTGAAATCAGTGATGAGTAGTTGCTAACATTGACGTATACCAAGTTTTATTAATCTCCAGGACCCTTTCCATACAGGTTGTTATGGGTCACTGTATGATCAAACATCCATGGTGTTGACACCATCTAGGTGCTTGCTTACTAACCTTTCAAACTGAGGAAGGTTACTGCTATTTTTGATTCCTGAAGGGAACCTAGATTTAAAACACTCACTTTTCTCATATTATATTATCTAGCAGTTTGAAGCTGGAACATCGACTGGACAGGGAAGCTCAAATTGAAAAACGTATTGCTCTTAATCCTAACTGGCCATATCCTTTCATTTTTGTATTCTTATTTAAACACCTGCAAAATATCTCGGAATGAAAGAATGTCTACCTGACACAGGTTATCGTATATAACTGAACGCCCCAGTCTAGATTCCATCGGGATAAATGTTGTAATAACATGTGCAGTTATCTTCACGGACGTGATTTGTACGGACGTAATTTGATCCCTGAAGCAGACTACCGTCCCAAGTTACGGACTGTGTACCAAGTTGGACTATCGATTATATTAACAACCACGCGGCTAGAAGAAACACATCAAGCATGATACAATGCATTAACACTTCTATATATGTAGATTCGATGTTGTTTACCGGACACCCAAACTGCATTTGACCAATTAATTCTATCAGATTCAGTCCGCATGACCAACAGACACATACAGTATTCGCTTCCATTGTTGTCCTGAATTAATGTTCCATCGTATTTCTTTTCGCGCTTCAATAGGTAGCATAGTTCAGCGTACAATAGCTGTGTACGCTCTCTACAGTGGGCATGGTGAGCCAACGCGTATTGTTCCAAAAGCGACATCTGCTCGTTGTTTTTATTTTGGTCAAGATCAGGAGACGCAAACCTGTGTGATGACATGAATACTTAGGACTTTTGGGGAAAAACGGATATTACTGTAATTTTTTGTCTTTCGATACCTATGTTATAGTATTCAAGTAACGTTACATATTGGGTTATTAGTTACCAAAAGCGTGCGCTCTCACACAAAGCACTTCCTCGCGATGGTTATGTTCTTATGTGATCTGCCGGTCCTTAAGCTAGCAACTCTCCCTGGCATTCGGCATTAGCTCAGAACTTAGTTCAGTTAAAACTGATTTGAGAGGGCAGTCTAGCAAACAAGCTAGTGATTCATCTTCACGCCAACTACAACTAGTTAGGATAAGAAAGGGCGGATTAAATAACTAGATAATTGAGGTGTCAAAATAACCAAAATGTGTGTGATTCGCTCAAGCGAACTCTGCCCGGACGACAGCTGACCACGGTAAAGCCAAAGTTTTGACGACCTGCTATGCACACACAACGCGGGGTTGTTGAGACTAGTCACCATCACCTCCGCCAATGATGAATTCGGAATGGACACTGCTCACACGACTGTATGATTCGTTTGGACTAGGTGTGCGACTATTGCGATGGTGCACCTCCCCTGCTTAGCCACACTGAGTGAGGTTCACGATCTCGTGCAAACAAACCTTTCATAGTGCAATCTAGTTAACTTGGGTCACAGAAACAGGTAAATTGGTACACACAGAAAAGGGTGACATCCACAGACAGTTTACCCTTCAGCTGGCGTTGTAGCATGGACGTGGAAGTGAAGACAATACGTAACTGTGCGGGCCGCATAGCTGTTACTGGCGGCCGCTCGTACTGGTTTGATGAGATATTCGGAACTGTTGCCTCCGTTGCACGACAACGATAAGTAGACCAGGTTCTTTTCTACTGTAGGTGCTTTGGCGACCACAGTCAGTTCGATATTCCAGTCAACGAAGACCTTGGGATAGCCGTTTTAAAGGAACATTTTTCTTATTACTGCGCGCTCTGTTTCAATTGTGTCTGTGTAGCATCTTTTCATCGCTGTTCCGAGAAGACACCGGCATTAATTATCCACCATTCGAATCAAATTGGTTTATGCTTTGTTTAAAGTGTACATGTAGTAAATGAATTGAAACGGCGTCATCACCGTCAACACTGGGAGGGTGACTTCGACAGCCTAGCTGTCAGGTGACCACTCCAGAGGAAGGCTAAGATTGTGTAACCCATTCCAAATGCACAACGAACACTAGATCCCAAGAATAACTACAGGTGAAAGGAACATAATTGTTTACTTCACTTGACCGATATCGAGTCATTGGTGTTGAGGAACTATCTAACTAATTGTTCACCTTCGATAGCTAATTCCTCACTGTTGGTTCTTTTCAGAAAGGTAAAACAGTGGGTCCGCTTCAGCCATTTGGTCAGAGCAGTGAGAAGACATATGTTGCGATATGTTAACATTTCGATTGTTCTCATCAGTCGCAAACACAATACAAGCGGGATTCATGGCCAGTTATATACAGGGGAAAAGGTTGGTACACCAATCAAAATGTTAAAATCAAGACCACGGTAACTTAATTGATTGTCTCAATAGTTTCTGTGCACACAACACAGGTTGATAAGCCCTAATCACATTTACATGATATTTACATAGGCAGGACTGACCGTCAGTTAGCTCAGAGGGTAGCTGAACATGTGCCGATGTGGTTGGAACAACTGATGACGCAACAAAACGGAGTGGATCCGAGGATGAACAGGAGTTTCGCATCGGCCATCACCAAGCATCTCTTGACAACCCGACATCAGGTGAACCCGGAGCCTGCGTTCAAGGTGTTGTTACGTAACAACAATCCGCTAATCTTGGCAATTTGTGAGGCCTTGCTAATTAGGGCTTATCAACCTGTGTTGTGTGCACAGAAACTATTGAGACAATCAATTAAGTTACTGTGGTCTTGATTTTAACATTTTGATTGGTGTACCAACCTTTTCCCCTGTATACAACTGGCCATGAATCCCGCTTGTATTGTGTTTGCGACTGATGAGAACAATCGAAATGTTAACATATCACAACATATGTCTTCTCACTGCTCTGACCAACTGTTTGTTCTACCAACGCCCAATAAGATGCCCAAAATGACAGTGCAATGCAAGCATCGATGATTGCATGATGGCAGTGGAAAAGCTAATAGTGGACTAAATCATCCGAGTTACGTTAACACAAAATCTGTAAACTACAAACCTCCCACAAAGCTATCTGCACTGCGTTATCTCGTGAAGAGATATGTGATTACAAAGTAGTGAAGGACTGATGCGTAAGCTACCGTCATGAGTTGAGTGTTGCACATCCACGGCACTTTGTAGGGTCTGCTTTTTCATTATGTTAAGCTCGCATTCCGATTTCTACACTGCTTTTGTTAAGGCTTCACGTGCTCTTTCATCCTATGTTTTGTATTCCAGTGAACCTCTCGAATTTGTTCAGTGGGCATGAAACCGTCAACTCGGCAAGTCATTTGCAAAACCATTGGGTTGCATCTAAACCCAATCGTTTAAGGAATTCTACCCTTTTGGATTCCTGTATTGACCCATCTATGGAGCTGACAGGAAAACCGCCGGCATGTGGGTCAAATCAGACGATCTGCCGACTTCGATTTTCCCGGAGAGGCTCTAATACATCAACTGCTCTGCGGCCTCCTGGACGAATGACTGCTTTTCGTGCAATGTGTAAACAGTGTCTTCATTATTGTCGACCTCCTCCGTGGATGGTTCGTCTTTCTTTTTTGGTGTACACGAATTGCGGTGGAGTATTCACCTATGTACTTCTCCTGTTGGTGTTGTACACCACCTCATTTGCGCTGCGGCAAAGTGTGGCCTTGTTGCCCATCTGCCGACACATAGCCGAGCCGTTGTTATACGCAGACACTGACTCATCAAATCAAAGTGCTCAGAGTACGTCAGAACCCAACCAATCCTTGGCCGTTCCACCTGGTTACCGGCTCGCGCTGGAGTGTCGGAGGGGTGAAGCTATCAGCATACTCATATTCTACGGCCTTGGTTTTGTGTTCGGGGAGCTGATGGAGCTGCTTCACTTACCCGGCCTATTGGGTAAGTTAGCGTTACATGAAAGTTAATTGTTTCCTTCACTACACACTTTCTCGCAGTCTACCGTTTGCAACCACGATTCATTTAGTCTGATTGGCGGAGCTGTACAATATCGGGCGCGTCCCCAAGTTGCGGATTGAGAAATGCCTTCCTTGTGGAGGTAACTGCGCATAGGTCTCGTCTGCTTTGCAAGAGTGAGGAATAAGCAGTCGTGAACAATCAGAAGCAGCGTTTCAGAACGTGGGGAGTTCTGGGCTGGTCACCTACTTCTCCATCAGACATCACAAGATCTCGTACGGCGCTGTGTCAAAACCATTGTGACCGGCTATAGGGTCACTGCTGTACCCTGAGGTGAGTACCTATCGGAGGGCGGATTAACAACCTTGCTGGTCACTGGCTTCTGTGTAGACTGCAACCGAACACAAGAAGGCGAATGAGCCACCTGGCTGTCAAACGTCTTCGTATTCCGAAATCTGCATGAATCGCCCCGCTGCCTTGCGGGTCAGGTCTTTAAGACCAAAGGCTCGGGCTGGGGTCCTTTAATTCAATGTTCTTCTTCGGCATGAGCAACCGGGAATCTCACTGCTCACGCGACACATGAGGCCATCATAACCTTTACGCTGGTAGTTTCTTTTCCTCCATTTTGTTGTTCTTACTCATGTGTTGTGGCACTGGCATTTGGTTATTGGCCAAGTGTGTTAAATACATACATTAGACTGGTTGTAGCGAGCGTCACTATTGGCGAAATATCTCACAGGGCATTATAGCTTTACTGAAGGTCAATAAAGTCTATAAATTTGGCCGCGCCACTCACGTGAACGAAGTGGTTGCTTGGGTCCAAACCAAATAAACTTTGTGCAGTTATGCATAGGTGTGTACGACGCCGTTTGTACAGAAGTGAAGAAGTCAATTCCAACTAAGCTCATCCTCCTCAAAGTCTTAATATGATGTCTATAACTGTTTCACTGGTAAATGGTTGAAATTTTTTGGACTAACGTTTTGCTCGCCTGTGGGACCTTAACCTCGAATCGATGACCGCTTTGAATCTATTTGATGGCCGCAACGTCTCCAGTGTTCGTACATGTGCTGCTCTATGGGAGTTTTGGACAGTGGTCTGCTCTCTGCCTCAACGGGCACCTTTTTCTCTGTCCATAGCATCGTGTGACCCTTATGCAGTTTACTCGATATCTAATCGACGATTTGGGTCGAACCGCTTATCTGTCAGCGCGAGTTACTAGCCGCTACTTAGTGTGCTCTCTGTGAAAATGCGCTTTTTACGGACTGTAAGCACGTGATCTAAGTGTTAGGAAGTTTTCTGATATGTCTATACAGACTTCGAGAGGACCGAGAGACTTCTGAAAGTGCCAGATCATTGGTTGCCTTTTGCTCAAAGAAGAAACTTTATGTTTTTACTAAAAATAATAGTCTTTTTCATTGGCATATCTTAATTGTTTGTTCTGGTGCACTTATGATCAATATCCCCTTTCCTAAAGCTTTCTGTGTTGAAACGACAAAGTTTTTATGTGGTTCTTACAACACTGACTCCTCCCTCTAGTTCCCACTTTCGATAATCGAAGGATGCATTAAGGCTCTCACACAATATCCAGGTGCTTTGCTGGTGCATTAGAGATCCAGGCTTCACGTGTTATCTTAACATGATTACACTCTATTGAACTGACATCACCACAACTCATTCCAGACGGAACTAAACATTCGTTTGCCCATCACCTTGTCTAAACTTAACCTGTGATTAAACACACCTGCCGACATTATCAGAAGGCGGCATTTCTCAACTTCATCATGCTAAAATACCTGAATCATCCTGATCCACTTTTTTATGACAACCAAATCAGCACAAGTCTCTACTTTATCACGCAAAAACCAAACTAAATTACGCTTTGAAACAGAACGAGTAACAGGGTGCTAATCAACAAGGCGGCTTCCATACCTTGGTAAACAGAGGGTAGAGCTCGGTTGCTGTGGTGTTCGCTGAGCTGGGCAAATTGATTGCAATTAGGCCTCCTGCTCCACAAGTAATTTTAGACGTAAAAACTGTCCAGTTTGTTTAAGCTGACGTGAACATCTTAATTACAATCATACTTGATTGCCGGTACCTTTCAGCCTCAACACAGTTCGTTGACAATGATCTAAGCACATCCATGCAACTATTCAATCTTCCATCACTCCTGTCGCCATGCGGTTGATGAGATGGATAACTAGCTCTAAAACACCCCAGATTTTCCAGAAAAATGATCTCAACTCGGCTTGTTACTCAGTTCTAACAAGTATCTTGCAATACTGAGGGTGGCGGAAGCCTAGACCTTGTCCTTCAAGATATATTAAATTTCTAGTTCAGGTCATCCTGAACTACATGAGGGACATTTAGGACATACACAACAAGTTTTTGTACCCTGTGAGGAATCGCATCCCATAGGTGATATTAGGCCACTCCAAGACATGATGGTCGATCACATGAAAGCTCAGTTGCATCCGAATGTGTACTAAGGTGTGATCGGAGCCTACATCAACTAACAATCTTGAGTCCACGTGTGTCGTTTGTGGTTCATGCAATATGGTCAGGCTTGAGTCAGGATACCGTTTCTCTCGACGATCACAGGATGACACGTTGTAGAAGATTGTATTAAAAACTTTGCTCCTGACACAAAGAATTGTATCAGTGCACTGTCGTAGAAACTAGTCATCGTTACCAGTACAATGAACATCAACTCCAAGTGGTTGTTGAAATGTTCTTCGGATTCTGCAGAGATGGTCACCTGAGTAAGTAGAACGATCACGATCTCCGTGTTCATGGAAGTAGGAGTGAGAGGGAAATGTTCTTATATGATATCCTCCCAGCCTCAATCACTGGGATCATGTGCGAAAACAAAGAGAAGGCATCATATACTCAAACACCGTTTGTTCAATCAGGCTGAATTCCGAAACCGAACTGCAAACCTGTAGTTGTTCACTAGATTCATTCAGTAAGCTTAGCCTGAACGATACTTTTAAAGACAAAGATGACATTGCTGGTATTCCGGGCTGCTGGCTCCGTATCACTGGAGGTGCGAAGTTTGCATCTATCGTCACCGGAAGTTCAGCTAGTTAGTCAAAATGGTTCTAAACATATATATATATATATATATATATATATATTCATGGTTCATGAACACAGAACACATCTACCTCGTGACAATGAAGAGCGGTTGGCAGTGGTGGTCTTGGGCGATTAGACCCAGATTGGGGGTTGCGACAGACGGGACTTCAGTTGTAATCCTCGACTTGCTGAGCGTTTCAGACACCACACTTACGCAAATTCCGAGGTCATGGATATCAGCTCATACTGACTAAGCTTGTAAGAAAAGAGTTGCCATGTGGCAGCCGATTTCGAGAGAGAGACCCTCTTAGGAATCCTCCATCTACACCCTTCCACTCAATATTCTGCAGCGGAGAACAGTGGACGATCGGATTTTGTGTGAAAATTTGTCTGCCTCCGTAGATTAAGGTTAACTGACATATTTTCGACAGTGGCAGCTAATACGGCCTAAACTACCTTCAGCCAGAGAAGGTTGTGATTGGCTTGTACTTTGTTGATCAGAGAAAGGCCTAAGTCGAAATGCCATCGATCACTTCCAGATCTTTTTCTGAGATGTTAACGATCTTCTCCGAGCTCTGCTCATCAGCCTATTTTGCATCGGTATCGCTGATAGTATTTTGTTATTATCACTTAGCGTAGTTCAGTGGATTGCAGGAGCAAGAAACCATTGCACGATGTCAAGGTCCGGATTCACTTCTACAGCCTAGGGTGCAGCGTAGATGGCAATATTTTGGTGCGTCACAAGATTGCAAAGTCTCCAGTAACCCGCACCGCATTCAAAAGTCCCCTCACTGTTTCCTTCGGGGAACTGTTCTATTCAGCCAAAGCCGCTGGTTGCAACATTAGAGTTGTCATTTTCGCTGATACTGACCACCTACTCCTTGTCCAAATACTGTTGCTCATAATGTGTGTGAGTATCAGACTTGATTTCCAACAGTATGTAACAGGATATTCCGGAAAGTAATGCACCTTGCTCCACTTAGTTGCTGATGCATTCTCCATCTTCGACAGATCGTCACTCTTGTGCCCGCTTATGGGAGGCGCTACCAGTTTTACACCAATGATTGTTTCCCCCTTGACCTTCATCCGATGAACTAATTGAGCTGGTTAGTTGTCCTTGCTCAATTCAGGTAAAATCCAAAGACCCCGCAGCATTTTTCGCATTTGACTACCATACAAAAATCCCTAAACTTATCCTGAAAACAGGGAGTCCTTCACCGCAACCATGTAGAACTAATGTATGGTCGAATTATGTATATCGGCATCGGCCTGATGGTTAAAAAGTCTTCCTCTGTGCTGTTAATAAGCTATGTTGTTCTGATTTAGAATTAACGCTATCCGAGTCAGCTCACCCTAGCTGTTCTTCCTCTATTTGATGGTTTTAAGCGCCATGTTGGTTGCTTCCGTTCCGGGCCTGATTCTTAGTAGTCCCCATCACCGGTCCCCTACTATGGCCTAATCAACATTACACGTACCTTCACTCCCAAGCAGCAATTATTGGTTACCGACGATGTGAACCACGTGCTACGCGGGAGGCATCTGCCGGTATTCGCCATACATACTGAGAACACTGGCGCTTCGTGCACCTTCATTTGTACCAAGTTTAACACCGGTCGAGTAAGCTGAATCGGTTTCCACTTCGCAGGCCGCTTACGTATCAGTACATCACCTCACTTGCCCACACACACCTCACCACCTCAACTCTCGCGGCCAGCATGGTCAGAAGCGGATGCTTTACTCCATGAGAAATGTTCAGATGTAATATCACCATTTTATGCATAGAAATGTGCGTACACAAACGCAGTTGGGTCTATTGAGTAAATGGAGTCGTTGCAAATGCAATTAATTTTCTGGGCTAATGCAAATAGCGTTCAGACATGGTCAGTGATTTGATGTGTCCGTCTAAAAG